CAAACAGACGTGATGGTCAGATGTGGCTCTTAAAGCGCCACATCGTCACCTCGCTATAAAAAGGTTACTCCTCGGCCAACATGCTCAGATTTCTCAAATTGCAACTGGCAAAGTCCGCCCATCGAGCTCATCCAAAAATGACCCCGACGGGAGGAGGGACTAACTGTATGGGTCAAAATCTAACCAAGGAAATCTTGCCTAAGAGAGGATAATTAAGAGCCGATTAGGCCGAGGTCGTGCTCAAGAAGGACCTACTGGCGAAGCTGAGTAGCTAGGGCCGAGGTCGAGCGCTCAGATCAGCCCAAACGACTAGTTTAGTAATAAGATATTTTAGAGGAATATTCTACAGAATATTCTCTGCACTTGTACTTTCGGTTAGGAAAGGGATATATCCCATATAAGGGGGGAATAGAGAGAGAAGAAAGGGGTATGTAAGACTCTACATGATAAGTTCTCTCATGAAAAGTTGACTCTCAAGAAAATTACAAACATTGTCTTTACAAAAAGATACGATTTGTCGTTGATCCCACACTTTCTCACATCAGATCCAAGAAAGCTTTTTGTATTTCCACTTTTGTTTATCTTACATCATTATCAGAGGGAGAATCATCCACCTCATTTAATATTTGGGTGAACCATTCTCTCTATTTACATTTCTTGCCATTTAATATATTTATTGCTTACCATTATTCCCCCATACACTCATAACAAGACCATTAAATTCCCCTTTGCATTAAATTGGTTTAAATGCAAATTTACTCACTATTTCCTTATTCAATTAGTTTAGCAAAAAGGCTTAATACTTTTTGGTCAAACAACTTGGACAACTTTAAATCGCATAATTTTATGTTTCACACCTTCCTGGTATCAGGATAAAATCTCTTTCATTAGACTAATCGATTGGAGAATTTTTTTATTTTTTTGGATAAGTGATTTGTTGATTGGAGGACCAATATTTTTAGATATATTTTAAAGTTGTTTAACGTCCCTTGCATTCTTTGGGTGTAAGATTGACCACTAGTGAAGAAGTTTTTGAATAACCTTTATATTCCATATTATTTTAAAGGCTAACTAATAGGAACAAAAGGGAGAGAACTTAAATTTATGTCAATTTTCAAACAAAGTAAATTAAGCACCTCTATCAGTTTTCTCCACATAGTCAAAACCAAATATGATCCTATTTCTAAACAGGAAGATACCAATACCCTCCCTATGGGGACAATCAAAAGGCAAAAAAGTAATTCAACAAATTAATTGATGTCTCCTTTCCATTCAAATAACTCAACTTTGAAAATCAAACAAAAGGGAAAAAAATATAATAATAATAATAATAATAACAACAACATACCCAATATATTCTTACAGTGTAGAGTCTGAGGAAGGTAATATTAAAGGTGTTTAACGGCCGGGTTGACCCGTTTCCGAACTGGCCCGGACCGGTGGTAGGGGCCTGGGTAGGGCTGGGTTTGGGGAGTAGGGGGTTGAGACGTTTACATTTTTCTTACCGGTCAACCCAGTCAAGGGAAAACACTGTTGAACCGGTTAACTGGACCGGCCTGGACCGGTTCAACGGCTATTTTCTGATTTTTTCTATTTATTTTTTTTTTAAATACATTTGACCATTTGGCAACGGTCAGCTTCCAATTTGACCGTTGCCTAACAGATATTTTGCAAGAATAGCCTTTTTTTGGGCAATTTTTTTTTTAAAAAATAACACTTTAGGTAATTACTAATTTGCCCTTTAAAAAACTATAAATACATCCTCCCTCTTCTTCATTTCTTCACTCATCTCTCATTTCTCAAACTCAAATTCTCAATTCAAGTTAAATCATGCCATGTACTTCTAGAGTGCGCTCATATGTTTGGAAACACTTTGAGGTGGTAGAAGAAAACGAAGAAGTTCACAAAGTAAAGTACAAGAACTGTGGTCGAGTCTTAAATCTTCGTTTAAGGGGGGGGGGGGGGGGGCATAAGCTGTTTAAGGGGGTATATGAAGAGTTGTCTTGAGCGTCCTCCAGAAATTCGTATTTAAGTTGATTACAATTTCTGTTATTTTAAAATTATTAGACATATTTAAGCTTAATGTTTTAGTTTGTTAGATTTACTTGAAGTATTATTATGCAATAAAAATTTGAAATGAAACTATGAAAGCCTTTGAAGCTTGATCCTTATATATCAAGTTATTACACTCTAGTGTCCACTATAAGATTTATACTATAAGTTATATTTTGTTCATGTTCATTGTATTATCTTAAATCCGTAATGATTTTTTCAAATATAAAGATTTTAAAATTTAAAGTCTTTGCATCCTTTATTCAAACACTCTTTTTATAAGACTCTTTTTTTATTTTAGATTTTTACTTTATATTAATATAAAATTACGATAGTTATACAAAATACAAAAAAAAAAATACATAAACCCGGCCCGGACCGGCCCCTTAGACTCGTAACCGTTCCGGTTCAATTTTTAACCGGATAGACCCGGACCCGTTAAGCCCGGTATGGAAAAACTGGTAACCGGCCCGGTTTGGTGACCGGCCCGTCACTTTTATTCTCGACCCGGACCGGCCCGGCCCACCCATTAGACACCTTTAGGTAATATTATATACATACCTTACTCCTACCTTGTGAAGGTAAAGAGGATATTTTCGATAGACCTTCGACTCAAAGAAAAAAATAAAAAAGAAATGAGATAATTGGAAAAATATGGAAAAAGGAATGAGAAGAAGTGAAGAGACATGGATCAAACCATAAAAAGTGAAGAGCCTATAAAGAAGCAGACCATTTTGACCAGAAGCTTTGATGTCCTAAGAAGTGCCTCTTGTCATGTCAAATAGTCCAATGAGTACATTTAGTAGTTAGAAAGTACTTAGGATTTCATGGCCATAAAAGGCTAAACCATCTCTGTCTCAAAAACATGTTCCACTATTTGACAATATTTCTTGCTAGCTTTCACTGGGTTTCACACCTGCTCATAACAGCAATCACTGCAAAAAAAATTCCACCTGCTTCACTATAGTAAACAAAGAAGCTCTATCCAACCTCTTTAAACGAATGGATTGTATTTCTTTGGCAAAATATATAGTTTACCCATCGACTTTGTACTCAATCCCTGTTACACACCTCTCTACCATGGGCAATTTTTTACACACCTAAAACACACTATTTTTTTCTTACCCAGATTTTCAAAGTATGTGTACTATCACGCGCCAATAAGGCCGTAACACGTGTCACTAACTAATAATAAAAAGAGAGCACATAAAATTACAATTATATCCCCATCTTCTTCATCTTGTCCACCATAACTGCCATCATCACGCATTCATTTTCTTCTTGTGCTCTTTCGATTCCCACAACTGAAACAACGAGGTAGTAATAATAATTATTTGTAAACTCACCCATTAACAAAATTAAAGAATGTGCTTATCTGGAAAAGCTTGAGGTAAGCTTTAATAACTTGGGGAAATTTTGAATATTTCACCCTTTCAGAAATTTAACTTAGCCACGGCAAAGCTCAAGCTAAGCTTTTTTAGAGAAAAGAAGAATCTTCCGTACATAAGTTTAAGCCTAGCTTTAATGGTTGGTGGAGCTACAAAGAGTGTTAGTTTTTAAATTCTAATTACAATTTCTCAACAAAAAAAAAAAAAAAATGACAAAGCTAAGGACTAATCAACAAGAAAAGATATGAGAAATTTTGGTGGGTCTACTTGAGAAGAAGTAGATTGAGTGGAGAGAAGTGAGTCTGAGCATCAAGGAGTAGCTATGGCAAGTTTAGTGATTTTTTTAACCAAGGAAGAAGATGACCCTAATTTAAATTTTAAAAAAATTAAAAAATTGACATCTGATATAAAAATTCTCATGTTCACACGCTTCATTTATTGGTAAAAACACGCATTGACCACGTGGGCAAAATGGTATGTCTTAGACACACTCTACAAAGGTTAGGTGTGTAAAAAATTGCCCGTGATGAAAAGATGTGTAATGAGGATTTGGGTGATCGGTAAACTATGTATTTTGCCTATTTCTTTTATTCACACACTTTCACTGTACAAACAAGTTTAAATTTTCTTTCACGAATGTATGTAGACTATCAATGCAACTTTCAATTTTTGGGATTCTATCTTTCCTAGGTAGAACATATACAAAGTATGGGTTCTTAGTGGATTGTTAATTTTCTTGCCTAAATATAAATACTAGGCTGTCTTTCAATTTTTTAAGATTGCGATAGGTACGTGTTGTGAGCCGGTTTTATCGAAGAATTTTACCTTGTAGCTTTTTGAATCCATCTCCCAAACCCATGTTCATGTTTAGTACCAGAAGTAACTTAATAACTTAATTGGTACTTGTGACTTAATAACCCTGTTCATCTTTTACTGCTATCGGGGGCGAAGCTAGAGGTTAATGTACCGAAACGGTCGAGCTCAATAATCTTGGTCCAAACTTTATATATTTTAAGAAATTTATTTTATATATACAAATTTATTAATTTAAAATCTAGTAACTTAAGTGGACTCGAATGCAAAACTCATAAGCTTCAAATTCTGGCTTCTTCTTTGAAATGCTATGCAACTGGGGTTGTCACTGAAACTGTAAAGAGGATTTATTTTGGTTCCCATAAAGTTAATCTTGAGAAGACTGAAGCTCGATGTCATTTAGGAGTTGATATTTCTTGAGAAACCTTTTCAAGATCAATCAAGCTAGTAAACCAGAATTTCAACGCTTGGCTTCTTCAGAGGAAGCACATAATGAAGTGCTTGCTGGATGAAGAAAAAAACAGAAATTCAGAGTTAAATAAAGAGGAAAATACGCTTGTACTTGGGAAAATAAGGAAGTCTATACACCAAATTGATGTTACCCTTTGTGACATGCACCCGGTACATGTACAACTTGATAATCTAAGTAACATGTATATTCATTTCTACACAGGCTTTATACGCGTTTCCAAGGTTCATACAGATCACTTGTTCGATGAGGGTACGGGCAAGTGAAAATTCATGGTGTTGAGAAGAATCATGTGCAATATCTTTATTCGTGTCATATTTGCTCGACAGTACATCAAGACAAATGAAGAGTTTACAAGAAGGAAGAATATAATCTTCTAAGAATTGAGTGTACTATTAGCCTAGATAAGCACTAATTTTCCTTTACGTAAGGGAAAAGGTAGAGAAACTATACGTTATCTCTCACTTCTCAATCACAAATATCAATGAAAACAAAACCAGCCAAATGTAGGCACAAGAACAAAGTAACCCCATCAAAGCATTCCGACTAGAAAGTGCAAAGTGAACTGTAGTTTGCTTTTAAGAGAATAACCCTCAATTACTCTCAGGTTTCTTCAGCTGCATCCACTATGAAGGGGAACACAAAAACAAGTGTATTTCTACAATTGGTAGTACAACTTCCCCACCCACTGGCAAAGGCAGCAGGTGTATTGCACCCGCTGTCTTTTGTTCGAGGTATACATGTAGTAAAAATGTTCTAAAGATACATCTTAATACTAAGTTTAAACTCGCGTCACTAACACCAGAAAAAGTAGTGGGCGCATAGTACTCCGCCTATGCACCCAACTAACTTACAGTCCTAAATCCCCCTCTCATATGACAACTTCAGCAATACCTTGGGAGTTTTGAGTATTCTATATCATGTCTAACTCTGACTAACCAGGGATCAAACAAAATTGAGAAACAAAAGCTACTTCATAACATTATCCGCGGATCTAGCAGCAGATAGACCACAAACAATTATTCTCTGAATTGGAGGAAGACGTTCCTTAGGATGAGATGAAGACCTGGAAGGAGAAGAAACACGTCCCTTGGGAATAAATGGAGAAACATGTTCCCCTTTATCAAAAGGAGACCCAGAAGGGGCCATCAAACCAAGCTCACGCATAATTTTCACTCGGCGTGTGCTTGGTGCAGATTTTTCAGCTGTAGTGGTCACCTGAGTGTCCTGCCAACAATCTCAATGAGTTAAATGTTACACATCACTGTTGGATTACGTATATAAATATCTACATACTCGTGTTTCCAAACCATTAAATTTTATTTAATGTCTCCAAGTTCTCCTTTGGTCAATGTCTCCTTTTTTTTTAAAAAAAAAAAATCAGGTTTCTTATTCAAATAGTTACCCACCAACCTAGTAATCTGTTGAAGACGCTCTTCAGTTCTTTTTTTTGTTGATAAAAGGAAACTCAAGTGAATTTATTTTGGAAACTATGAATGTATGAAAATGTAATCATAATACAGAGCGACATCAGAGTAGGACGTTCAATAAGTGCATGGTAACCCAAGTGCATAAGCTTATACTGGAAATACAAGTTTTATGAAAAAGTTTCCGAAAGAGAGCCAATTATACTCACTTCATCCATGGACCTGTTCTTTCCCTTGAGACCATCACTTTGGGCTTTGCCAGATCCTTTTTCAGTTTTCTGTGGGACTGAGGCATTGGTTTTTGCACTTTCTGGCGATTTACTCGTGGAAGGCCCAAACTCCTATAAGAAAAATAAGATTCTCAACTTCAAATCTAAGGCAAAAATATTTTGGACAGGCAAGATTCAAACAAGGAACTCATGAGGCAGAACTTATCTGCTTGTGGAAGTTAGGGATTTTAGCATCTTTTTTTTTTTCCGAGTCTACATTACATTTTAAGTTCTTCTAAGTCTTTTTCAGGTTTCTTTTAGCAGCAAGATGGTTCTCCACTTGAGACCTTCATTTTACATGAATCAACCTTTAGCTTCAGAAAACAGGATATGATTAAAGAGAATGGAAGATGTACGCTCACAGATTTTTTGCTGCTTGACTTAGGTGTCTCCGGGATTTTATCTTGCTTTCTTTTTCGGCTTTCCTCTTCCTTACGCTTTTCTGAGCCTAACTTTACTTTTGTCATCTCCTTTGTCTGCTTTGCATCTGCTTTCTCGGCAAAGTACCTTGGCTGAAAACAACATGAAATGGCCTTCACTCTATTTATCCAAAGAAGCATGAAAGTGACCACGCAAGTACATAAATCAGGCAAGACTTGACTTGAAAGTAGTCATTTTAGTGAACAGCTCATGCAATTACACTTATAAGTACCTGCTAAATTGGCCCTCTTTTCTTGATAGGGAAAAGGAAGAAACAAAAGGAGGGCCAGTTTAGCAGATATTTCAACAAAACCAATTTAGTCAATTTGGCCCTTTGTAAATGTAGGGACTGCAAATCAATTCGTTTTCAAGTTTCTCTTTTATGAAATGTTTGTCTTCTGACATGTTTAACTAGGTTACGAGCTATATTGACCACATAGTTATTGTCACAATAAAACTCACGGTTCTCCAACCTAATATTCAGGGCTCATAGAAAATCTTGAGTCATAACAACTCTCAATTACCTCGTACAATTAATTGAATCACTGCCCCTACACTACATATTGTGATAACTGGTGCTTCTCCTTCCATAGTCTCGCCTTTCCGGATTTAGTTCGATAGGTGTCTGAAGGTCTAAAACCAAGTTTTAACTGTTTTTTTAATACATCAACAGTATATGTTTGCTGCGAAGAGTTTCCTTCCTTGGATCCTCTATTCCTAAATCCTAAGTAAGTGCTTTTAACTTCTCGGACCCGTTACTTCCAATTCTCTTTTTCTAAATACTTTAAAATATAGCTTCTTTTTCATCTGGAACAGTCCCAATTACCAATAACATGACTCCTCCTGAGGCCGATGCTTGTAAAACAATGTATGATTACCCTAGCTTTGTTTGTACTTCATATTCAATATTGCAATCCTAAGTCTTCCAAACCATGTCCAAGGAGATCTTTTGAGCTCATATAATGCCTTTTCAATATGCACACTTTGTTTTTCCTAGATTTATGCTAAAGCAGGTGGAACTTCCGTATAAATTTCCTTGCAAGATATCTAGGTAAAAAAGGCGTTCTTTACTTAAGAACTACAGTAAAGACCAATCAGAGTTTGCAACTAGAGATAGCAACACCGTTACTATATCCATCTTCATCTCCGGCGCAAATGACTTTTAATAATCCACCACATAGGTATAGGTTTGTGTATATGTATTTCCTTCTAGTCTCACTTTAATCTCAATGGATACTTAGGACTCATACACTTGGCTGTGGAGACCATTTGCACCCTTTCTAGTGGCTATTGGTAGATCCTAATCGAGGACAGTAAATGACAGCTCAGTATTTACCTCATTCTAAAGTAACGATTCGGTCTTGTTGAACCCAGCAGGATTTATACGTGCTATAGTGGCTTTGTGAGTACACTATTAATTGGCCTAGATGATTCTTAAGAAAGATTAGGAGATTGAATCAACGGATCTTCTTCAAAGGGTGATGTTTCAGAATTTTGCATAGCATATTGGTGATTCTCTAAAAACACAAATCCTTTTCTTCATAGATGATGGTCACATCCTAAAGAACGGACTAGATATATAGCTTTCTATCTCAGCAAATTTAACATTGTTACAATTATAGGTTTTATGAGTGGCAGGATAGCTCCAATTATGAGAGTGAACAGATACGAAAATTTTTAGGAGCCAATGTAGTGAACTCATTAAAATCTGGGTAATGTCACCTCCATTAGACTTATAAAGACGAGGATTGGATTCGATTAATCAGGTGAAACGCAGAGAAAATAGCTTCCCCCAAATTACAATAGTACACTAAACAACAATTTGCATTTTAGGACAAATTTAGGGTTCTCTAAATCTCACACCTATGCCCATATTATCATACAATATTGGCTGTCAATAGCACACCTAATAAAGCATATCAGTGAATGTACTACTAGTCAGTTTCAAAGTCAAACAAGCATCTACTGGAAAACATTTAGCACAAATTCAACAAAATTATCCACACACAAAAAACAGAATATGGATAAAAGAAAGAAGATGAACGAAGAACATACCGGCTAAGAAGCTCAAACAAAGTTGAAATACCCACTAGGAAAATGTGAAGTCTCTCCTTTATATAATACGTACAAGTAATCGAAGATTCTTTATTCTTTATACACATGTATTGGGTGAGGAAGAAAAAGAGCTTGCTTTTATTATTGTTTAGTTTCCGAATGCCCCTCTTTTCAGTTTCAATTTTCTTAAACCGAAAATTTTAAAAATATACATAAGTATTAATGAGTTTTGAAATTTTCTCCCGTATTATTTAGATCATGTAATTTCGATGTATTTAGGACACATCCCCTTGTTTGTGCCGCCCGGTCCAGTGGTGCTGTTATTCTTTTCTTACTTTTCCCACATTATTACTGTCTTCTCCCTCCGGTCCAAAATAAGTGATTTTTTTAGATGTTTTTATACAAATTAAGAAATTCACCTTTTAACATTAATTAGCAATGGAATTGACCATATTAACCTTCACTATCTCACATAAACACTCCTAACACATATTCCAACACCATTTACTTCAAGGACAGTGTAAAAAAAAATAATTAATTCATTCTTGAAATCTAAAAAAATCACTTATTTTGGACCACAAGAAAAAGGCCAAAACATCACTTATTTTGGACCGGAGGGAGTACTTATTTATTTATTTTTAAAAAGGGATGTACATGACATTGTTACCTTTATATGCTTTTTAAACTTATACTCCTACTACCAAAACTTTTATTTATATTTTTTAGAAAGAAAGAAATCAATGCTAAAAATTGCACTAAAATTAAATTTGAGCTCGTATTATAGGACATTAATTTGGAATGTAAAGAGTATTATTTGTAACAGTACTCTTTTTCTTTTGACTTAAGATATTATATTCTTTTCAACTTCAACCAAATATTATCAAAACATCTAGTATTTAATATTAAAAAAATAGATGGGTGAATGCTCAAAAAGATATAAATAAAGATATCTACCACGGTAACTTAAAACAATATCCACACATTTTGATGTCAATCATGCATTTTGGAATTTAAAGTTTTGGAAACGTACTCTATCCTAATTAAATTATTTGCTCAAGAATCGCCAAAATTTCACGGTATAGCCAGTTTTCGAACTGGTCAATCAAAAATAGCCAGCGTTTACCAAGTCAATGAAAAATAGCCACCGTTTTGTTGCAATAAAGACCGGTCCAACATAATATACTGGAGTTTCGGTGCACTTGTTTATGAACTCCAGCATATTATGCTGGACCAGTATACTTTGCTGGCTCCAGTATAATATACTGGAGACTGGAGCACTGGTGCTCCAAACTCCAGTATATTATACTGGACCATTATACTTGCTAGAACTCCAGTATATTATACTGGAGTTCTAGTGTATTTATGCTGGAACTCCATCATATTATGCTGGAGTTACAGCATACTATCCTGGAACCCCAGTATAATATGTTGGAGTTCAAGTATACTTATGCTGGAACTCCAGCATAATATACTGGAGTATTTTTTGGGTTTTGAACAGTGTTTTCACTCAGATTTATCTTTATATAAAAAGTGGCTAATTTTCGATTACTTTTGAAATTGAACTATTTTTGAACGACCAGTTGTAAATCTGATTATTTTTAAAAATCACCCTCAAGAACCACCTTAAACCTCATAATTTTAAAATTTGTTAAAACATGTAAATCAATTTTCTTAAACTTACATCTTTTTCTTATGAATCGTATGATTCATAAGCTAGTTATACATAAATTACAGCTCATAATTGTTGTGGACCATCTAAATCTCATTTGGAATGAATTCTTCCTGTTTGTCATTTGGCACCCATGGTTGAACAGAAATAACAATCATTTCAACAAATTCTGTAATCTTCTTGCACTAAATTTTGTGACTATGCGTTGTATAGAATATAAATACACCACTGCGTCTCCTACTAACAACATCAACATTTCACCAATAACGATAAAATGGTAAACCCCCCCCCCCCCCCCCCCCCCTCCAATGTCAACTGAGCTAAAACTCAACATTGATGGGGTGTTCAAAGGCAGCTATAAAAAGCTGGGATTGGTGGAATATCCCGGGATAAATTTTAAAACTGGATCCTGGGCTACAAAATGCCCGCTTATGACTACACCCCCACCTATATGCAGTGAAGGATCCAGGATTTATAGGTCGTGGTTGCTTCACTGATTTTAATTTAAATTCTAGATGGCCAAGTGTGGTCATAGTGGGTGTTCATGGTCAATTAGTGAAGTTTTTAGGTATTATTTATAAATATATTATATGATTTGGCCAAGCCAATGGGTGCTTCAGCACCCATATGTCCAAAGGTGTATCCGCCATTGCCTACATGGAACTCCTCGCGCTAAAAAGTGAACTTCTATAGCAAAAAATCATAATTTTCATAGCTTAGAAATTGAAACTGATGCTACTGAACAACCTCAACTACTTTCCCATAACATATGTTCTCTCCACTCTAGCCTTTTTAATGAGTGCACGTTATTACTGAAGGAACTGGAGAATCCAATGATCCGGTATAATTTTCGTGAGGGGAACAGACTTGCACATAATTTGGCAAAGGAAGGATCCAAGCAATCAAACAATACTCCCTTATCAACAATGTTTTACCCACCGAATATTTTTTGAAAGTTGCTATAGGAGGACAAAACTGGAGCACCTACTACTAGATTAGTATCTACCAATATATTAAACAAGCTAGTCGAACTTGGAAATTTTAATAGTTTTTGTACATATATGGCTAGCAGCCCCTCTAGCTCAGGCACTTTTGATGCCCCTAATGAGGCATCACCTCTATGTAATGTTACTACTTAATTATTAATATAAATTTCGTCGTTCTAGAAAAAAAAATGCTAGCACATGAATGTCACGACCCGAAATCCCCACCCTCGGGAGTCGTAATGGCGCTACTCGTGGAAGCAAGGCAAGCCAAGAACAGTCGCAAACATCATCCTAACTCATTTTACCCATGATTAAACAATTTAAATTATAGAAGCATAAGCAATTAAAATACTGCGATTAATAAAAGATAGCGGAAGTCTGAACTAAAAATATTGCAACAGCGTCTAAACATCAATACAAGCCTCTACCCAGCACCTGGTGTCACAACATTTCACGGACCATCTAAGAATGCTAAACACAAAGTTTGAAACAAAATGATAAAACTCTGTCTCGGTACAAGGGAAACAGGGCAGAAAGGGGATAAAAGAGATGTCGGGCCTGCGGATGCCTGCAGGACTACCTCGGGATCTCGTGGACTGAAGGACTGCTCCCTGGCCTACTGCTGTGCACCGGAAGCTGCTCCGACGCCTGAATCTATGCAAAAGAGCACAGAGTGTAGCATCAGCACAACCGACCCCATGTGCTGGTAAGTGCCTGGCCTAACCCCGGCGAGGTAGTGACGAGGCTAGGACCAGACTCCAGATGAATCTGTGCAGATATATAAATACAATACAACGAAGAGGCAAACAAAAATAAACAATTAAAACTGGGGGAGGGAATATGCTTTAGGGGTAACAAATATAAATAGAATATTAGGAATAATAGAGGAGAAATCTACAGTCTAGCTTCTAACACGGAAATAAGAAATAAGGACAATTTTCATGTTCAGCTCATCTTGTTGCAGGCGTGCGACCCGATCCCATTTCATCAACTCGTGGTAGGCGTACCACCCGCTCCCATTTCATAACATCTTGTGGTAGGCGGACCACCCGCTCCCATTTTTATCAATCACTTGTGGTAGGCGTACCACCCGCTATCATTTCATCAATCACTTGTGGTAGGCGTACCACCCGCTCCTATTTCATCAATCTTGTGGTAGGCGTACCACCCGTTCCCATTTCAATCCAACACAACATAACAAAATAATCTCGGCTAGGGGACAACAATATAATAACTTCCCGGCAAGGGAACAACAATATAATATCTTCCCGGCAATGGAACAACAAATATAATATCTTTCCGGTAAGGGAACAACAATATAATAACTTCCCGGCTAGGGAACAACAATATAATAACTTCCCGACAAGGGAACAAAATATAAAATCAAATGTCCCGGCAAGGGAGAGTCGGCTATAACCAATCTTATGCAACTTCTACTTAACCCAATTAATACCAACACTCGGTCATAACTAAAGTCCACGGAAATAAACTAAATGCTTGCTCAGTATCGAGAATCATCAATCAAGCTTTCATAGAATCCATTAAGAATACAAGAATTATCAATTTATGACTCACGGTCATGCTCGACACCAACGTATAGATACTCGTCACCATACCTATACGTCGTACTCGGCAAAAAACAAATAGCAAATAAGACTCAACTCCTAATCCCTCAAGCTAAGGTTAGACTGAACACTTACCTCAACTTTCACGGCCAAATCAATCCAAAACAACCGCTTTCCCTCTTGAATTCGGCTCCAACTCAATCAAATCTATACAATAATGACTTCATAATATCAATATGTGCTAAACAAATCAAACTCAATGTCTAATTATAGATTTCCAAGCTTCTTTACAAAATCCCAAAATCGCCACCGGGCCCGCTTGGTCAAAACACGAGGTTCGGACCAAAATAAAATCCCCCATTCACCCACGAGCCCGAATATATAATTTGTTCTCAAATTCGACCCCAAAACGAGGTCTAAATCAAGAAAAAGTAAAAAGCCCTAACTCTACCCATTCCCCCCAATTTCTACCCTAAATTACATGTTTTAGGTTTAGGAATTCAACAAATATTGATGGAAAATGGAGAAAACGAGTTAAGATTTACTAACCCAAGAAGCTTTGATGAAGAAATGCTCTAAAAGTCGCCCTAGAACCTTAGAGAAGAAGGAGTTCGTGTGTTTGATGAAAAATTCCCGTCACTGTTCTGTTTTGGACATTTTAAATAACTGGGCAAAATTGCCCTTCGCGTTCGCGTGAAGAAGGTCGCGTTCGTAAAGGGTAAACTTGGCAGACCATCACGTTCGCGATGGGAAGAGTGCGAATGCGAAGAGGAAAGGCTGGGGGATCCAGGACTTGGTCTACGCGAACGCGTGGGTACTGATGCGAACGCGATGAAGGGATTTACAAGGCTACGCGAACGCGAAGGTCTTGGTGCGAACGCGAAGAGGAAAATTATGCTGAATCCCCCAGGGCCAGATGACTCTATGCGAACGCGAGGCAAATGACGCGAACGCGATGAAGGAAAGGTCTGAAGCTTCGCGAACGCGTGAAAGGCTTCGCGAACACGAAGAAGAAGGGAC